TATATTTACATATATATATACTCTATCCCTATAAATTTTTACATATATATTCACACACTTACATATATCAAAAAGCATGTAGATTCAGTTATAGATATGTTTGAATGTTGGTTATTTTTCGCTCTTGGTTCTTATTTATCTGTATTTTTTATGGTTGAACTCAATTATTCGATCTTTGCTGTTATCTATCTACACGTATGTGTATATCTGCGAAGTCTGCGTACTAATTCGTTTGTGGTTCTTTGATAGCACCTTCATTCACATTGTATCGTGTGACTGTACAAATTCTGACTCTGAAGGACTGTTATGACTTGAATGCCCTCTGTTTTATAATAATATCTCTTATGAATATTTTCTGTCACACTCCAGCCCAAGAACGTGCATGCGCCAGCGGAGTATGTGTTCTACACGGAATTTCAAAGTCACGAACCCGAATTCGACTACCTTAAAAGTTTGGAGATCGAAGAGAAAATAAACAAGATTAAGTGGTTAAAGCAACAAAATAAGGACAGGCTTCTATTATCTACCAATGGTAGGTAGAAAATTTGTAGATCAATTCGTTTGTGTACGTACCTATATGTGTGTAAATATATATTGTATACTTGTATGTAAATATATATTGTATACTTGTATGTAAATATATATATATATATATATATATTCATATGTACAAATTCGTTGTACTCTTCTCTAGAAGATATTTATATTGTCTAGTTTTAAGGCGTTTACGTATACTGCTTCAATCCCAATTGTGTGCTTGCTTGCCTTATGCGTATTTTTTGGCGTAATGGCTTCTCCGCTGTTTGACACTTGTGTCCTGGGTATGTTGATTGAATATATGTCAAGTGCACTGTACAAACGTCAGCAAAAGTTATCATCTGATCGAATGATATAATTATACTTGTATGTTCATGTGCATGCAAATGTACGCTTGAGCACTCACACTCCACTATAATTAGACCATAAGATATAATCGCGTTCATAAACATATGTCCACTCGTTCCTTTGAATTGCTAGTATGAAATAGTGTATGTGAGTGGTGGTGGACTCTACTTCCCAATGGTTTGAAGTTCGGTGCTCAAGTATGCTTGTTCCGGAATCGGGGTCAACCTTCTTCTTCGGGAGTCGTACGTATGTTCAGATTTATTCCAATGCCCTTTTTCCAAACTGATTTTTTACCTTTTTTTATACTTCGATTGTAGATAAAACAATTAAGCTGTGGAAGATTTATGAGAAGGTGATGCACTCTATCTCATCGATGAACACATGCGACGACGATGGTAACCCTCTTCCCGCTAAGATCATCAAGGAAGCCAATAACTTGAAGGTGAGTGTGAGCGTAGCCAGGAAACGTGTATATTTAAGCGGTACTACACACAACTACAGGAAGTGTATATCGGTGTGGTTTAGTACGTAACACTAAAAGTATATTCATTGCAAGTCAGTGTGACTTCGTACACGCCAGGGTGTCGTAGTACACTCGGGTGAGCTTGAGTGGCATAACTACAGCGATTGTATATCCGTGTGGCTTTATATACATAGCTAAGTTCGAGAATACAAAAACATACGGTGCATGCCTGTATGACTTGGTATCACAATTACATTATCTGCGAATCAAAATAGCTGAGCGCACACAACTACATCGTATAACATCAGATGGATGTAGTACACATTGTTCACCTTAGTATCACAACATTATTACCATGCCAGTGTGACTCAGCGTTTATAGGGCGCAGCTTTTTCCGGCACACACATAGCACCTCCAAAATGTCCGTGCGTGGGTCGAGTCATTATGAATAAGTATGCTTACCTCGAAGCTATACCAGTACAAGCCAAGAGTCATATGGAGTATGCGAAAGACATGGGTATATTCACGTTTCTGTTTGAATACTGACAGATATGCTCTGTGCTGCGTGTGTCTGAGCTCAGCCCCTTCAGAATACATATTCTTCCAGTGTTGCTCCCCTGTAGTATTCTGACTATTTTATCGTTCATGTACTATACTACAGGAACCTCTTTATATATATATATATATATATTATTTCTTATATACTTGTGCAACAGATCCCTCTGTTGGCCCACGAAGACACAATATTTGCCGCCGTACCGCGACGTGTATATCCCAACGCGCACGCCTATCACATCAACTCCATCTCCATCAACTCTGACGATGAACTGTTCATGTCGGCCGACGACTTGCGCATTAATCTGTGGCATTTGTCCAATAACAAAGGTGTGTGAGCACATCCATTTGTTTATGGGATACTCTGCAGTCTGGTGTCTGTCCAATCACACGGGAATGCCGGCATATCTGCGTTAGTATAGGTTTTAGTGGTTAAGGTTTTTAATATGAACGTATGAATTACTAGGCAGTTTCTCACGCGATACTGCAATAGATTCTGGCGAGCGTCTACAGCACGTCTGTGCTATTCAGTTTACCTTTTTTTATAAAATAATTATCGCAAGTTCTGGGCAGATGAACGGATCCGTACAATGCATAACTATCCTATTCGCTGTAGTAAACAGCTGGCTTACACACACCTTGCGTTGAATCACACACAGAGAGTTTCCGCATTCTCGATATAAAACCATCAAATATGGAAGACTTGACCGAAGTCATCACCGCAGCTGAGTTCCACCCCAGGGAGTGCAACACGTTCATGTACAGTAGCAGTAAAGGGACGATAAAGCTCTGTGATATGCGAGATGCGGCTATCTGCGACAACCAGTCCAAGGGTATGTGCGTAGTCTCGTCACGGTATTGTGCTGCTAGCATGCACGAGTATGTGTTGTATGTTATAGACCGAAGAGACGTCTGCAACATGCAGGCCAAGGTTGTGCACAAACTCTGAGTACGACAATGGGCAACTATTTCGCCCGATGCGTTTTGTGTTTATATCAGAGGGGCGGAAAGATTGGCTGGTACACGAAGATAGTGCCATTTGCGATTGGAGTATTATTCAACGCTCTCTCCGACCTCAGCTGTGTATACTTATAGTGCACGGCTGTGTGTGGTGTTGATATACCGGTTTACGTTTTCTTTCATGAGACTAACCACAACGTACAGTGCAATGTGCATAACACGTCGCGAACTCAAAGCCGAACACAGCCATAGCAGGCCGCGATAAACCAGGTTTATTGCTCGTCGCACGGCACTGTCGCTGGTTTGTTTGGAATATTTTTACCATGGTAGTCTAATGTGGTGAGCCTTGATTTGCGACATATTCTATTTGATGTTGGTAATAGCCTTGATTTGCGACTTTTTTTTAGGGGGGGGATGTTGGTTATTCCGTGTTTTTTTTAGCGACGACGATCATATTCGATGAGTTCAGTGCGAGGGTAGTGGACAATTGTAAGTTGGACTTGGTAATGTTATATAACATTAACTGTGTTATGATGTATACTAACTTTTCAATACATACCTCGCTACAACCGACTTTTTTCCCTGTAGTGTTCGAGGAGAAGGAGGACCCGGCAAACAAATCATTTTTCTCAGAGATTATCTCCTCGGTGTCTGATATTAAGTTTACTAACAATGGTACGTTTTTCGTCGATTCAGATATATACATATCTACGTCAATATACGTGTATTTACTTATTCGTTTCTCTCGTTGCTACTGTCTTTACACTTGTTGATGAAACTCTGTTGTCCGCAGATATATATGTATGTATGTATGTATGTATTTATTTATACGTATACACATTTTATCTTGTACAAGTACACGTATGCATGATTTTTATTTATTTATTGAAAGTGTGCATTCGACTCGGAAGTATATTTCGTACTATACTTGTGACACGTGCATAAAATTTATAGTTCTGTACATAATACTCGTAATTCTTTTGTAATTTTTTTTGTTGTATATATATTTATATTTGTATATTTTTATTATATTTATATTTGTATATTTTTATTATATTTATATTTATATACCTAATAATCACTTGTATACGAATATGCATATACGCTTATATATGATTTGTTGACATATATGAGATATAAACAACATGAAAAATGTGGGTGTGATATTTTGTGGGTATTATTTTTGTATAAATATGCAGAAATTCGAACTTCAGTGTATGTTTCTGTGCTTCTGGGTTCTGAATGCAAAACAAGCATGTGCTGATATGCCTAAGCATTTACGTACATATAAATAATATACGTACATCTGCGCATAACTGTGGTTCATTACTGCCTCATAAACGCACACACTGTGTATGCAATTTTAATAGTGAGTGGATGTGAGTGTAGTCGATCGGGTGTATTGACAGGCCAGTACTTTTGTCATCCATCGAAATTTTTTTCCCGTTCAAAGAAAAGTTATTTTGATCCATGCAACTGACACCGCATCTTCCGTATAAAATCGCACTCGGCCAAGCAATAAATTGTGTGAGAATGCGAAAGCGAGTATTCACGGCCTGCCTATAGGCACAAAAAAACAATCAATAGCTAGGCCAGCGCTGATTTTATTCTTTTATATACTTCTCGCAGGCAATCAAATTGTAGCCCGTGACTACTTGACTGTCAAGGTTTGGGACATTCGTAACGAGCGCGGCCCTGTTAAGAGTTTCGAGGTGCACGAATTCCTGAGAAGCAAGATGTGTGACTTGTATGAGAACGACTGCATCTTCGACAAGTTCGAGTGCACAACTTCTGGCAATGATATGCAGATCATGACGGGGTCTTACCACAACATGTTCCACATCTTCAATGCCGACGGCTCCAAGGAGGTATGTTGCGTCTGTGCCTAGGATCAAAGGATTCATCATCAGTTATTCTATATATATATATATATGTGTGTGTGTGTGTGTGTGTGTGTATATATGTATATGTATG